AGGGCTCCGGTGATCCTTCCACCTCAGCCTTCCAAGTAGCTGGAACTACAGGTGTGCGCTATCATGCCCGGCTAATTTTTTGATTTATTGTAGAGATGAGGTCTCGCCAAGTTGCCCAGGCAGGTCCTGAACCCGCGGGCTCAGGCAATCCACTCACCTCAGCCTCCCAAAGCACGGGATTACAGGCTGAGCCACCAAGCCCGGCTTCTGTTGAATTTTTGAAGGAGTTGATATGCTTGATATTTCTGTACCACCTGTGATGTGTGGTCTCACCTCCCACAACTCTTTCAGGAGAGTCAGGGCTTCTCACACATAAGCATCTATGTTTAGTCATGCCCTTCCAGTCTCTGGAATAAGAGGTGACAGACCAGAATGACACAATAGTGAGCAGAAGAAGATAGGTAGTTTGTGGACTTGTGGTGGCTTCAGAAGTACCTGTGAAGCTAGAGGAACTCAAGAACTCAAACTAGAGTCAGACCACCCAAAGCTTACACGTATATTTGGAACATACTTGAAGATAGTCCAACATTCTTATCTCAGTGGAGAGAGTATAGGCAACGTTGTCTGAGGACTTGGATATTTGTTCTTCTAAAACCCTGTGGGAATTCTTAGGATTGTAACCGATGTTCCTTACCCTAAGGGACCTTTGCAATTACTAATGAAGTGTTGGCCTTTCTTAATTTCAGATTGATATCAGTAAATGCCATTATTTAGTGGATTTGGACACCATGCAGGAAACACCCCGGGAGCCAAGGTATTCCTCCAATAAGGAAGACTGGATCAGCTTGGCCTATAAACCATTCCTCGATGCATCTAGGTATGTGGCTTTAATCCTACAAGATATACTAGGAGTAGTAAGGGTGCAAATTGGGTTCTAGGATTGAATAACTTCCAGCACTAGGCTGAGTCTAGTAGCTATCACTTTATTTTTATTCGGGTCCAACACATCTTTTTTTTGTTCAGTTTCCAGAGAAATCTAAAAGAGCTCTTTTTTAAGGTACCAGAATGCAAAATGTATTCTGGTGTCATCCAAATGAAAGAATCTAAGTAAAACAGATCTATTGAAGAAAACTCAAATAAGTGTTTGACATTGATTAGTTTTGGCAACCAACTTTGGCTGTCTTAACTGAGAATATTCAGGCACTGTTAAGATTGAATATGTCCTTTGAGGAGCTAGAAGTTAATGTTCATTATTTTTAGGCTCAAGGCTTGGCCAGAGTTGGCCTTATTAGATCTTAGAGAGACCAAGTGGACCAGGGCTTGATTGACTCTTCAAAAGTCTCAATTATGAAAAGAGAAGATCAGGATATTCAGGTGAAGGTGTAATGAAGATGAGTTAGAGGTATCAGGGTGTCTGTGAGCAGAGGTCCAGGTGAACAGAGTTGGAGTTAAGTCCAGGGAGGTCTGGTAGGCAGAGCCCAGAAGCCAAGAGGTCTGAAAGAAAGCAAAAGGCGGAGGTCCAAGTCCTGAGAGGCAGGTCTGGGGCTCAGAAACTGGGACCGGGCCTAGGACAGGACTCTAGAAAACTAAGTGAACGCAAGTACTGGGTTTAAGTCTGAGGAACTAGAATATATCGGAAGTGCCAAAGAATGTATACATATTTTAAGTGATGTTATTTATGTATTACTTTTAGTTCACCATTATCAGAAGTTTTAGATTAGCCTGTAATCCCAAAGTGGAGGCCAAAGTGAGAGGATTGCCTGTGCCTGGGGGTTTGAGACCAGCCTGGGCAACTTGGTGAGACCGGGTAAATCACAAAAACTAGCCGAGTGTGGTGGCATGCGTCTGTAGCAGGGATCCTCAAACTTTTAAAACAGGGGGCCAGTTCACTGTCCCTCAGACCGTTGGAGGGGCGGACTA